AAATTGAGCATTCTGATGAGCAATCAGTTAACAGAGTGGTAAGGATCACATTATATTTTTTTTTTATTTTTTTATTTTTTTTTTGCAAAATAGTCAAAGGCTTTGGTCCTCCTTTTAGACAGTTTAAGATGATGTCAGTATCATTTATGTATCCAAGTATGTGCTATTTCAGTAGACATTTTATGGTATCCATTATAGCTACAGATGTTACAAACTTCCATTATTAATTTCTCTTATGTGTTCATAGTTTTCCCAAACCCTGATGACTTCCATTGAATTTTGATTTTGTTTTCCTTTAGGGGCTTTTGAGGGAAGTTTTTAACAAAACCTTCTTACCTGTTTAGGTTGAAAGATGGGAAAGTACTTTGTTGATACAACTCTAGACATATTCTTCTGAATAAAAAATGCATAAAAAATAAACCAACCAATAGTAACAGTCCACCTTATCATGGACCCCATCTGTAACAAGGGGTAAAGTTCATGCTTGTTTTTGTGAGTAAAGTTTTTAAACAATTTAAAACATTTTTTAATGTGCTGGAGAGCATCCCTTTGTGTGTGTATGCCACTGCCCTCTGCTGCACAAAGGCAGGAGAGCTTGGCTGCTCTCATAGAAGCAGAGTGTGGGCACCCACCCATATTCCTACTTAGAGCAAGAGTCAGGTCCTATTGACTTGTGGCCCCACTTGGAGTACTGTGTCTAGGCCTGGGGCCACTAGCACAAGAAAGAGGACCAGCAGGTCCAGAGGAGGGCCATGAAGATGACCAGAGAGCTGAAGAACCTCTACTATGAAGAAATGTTGAAGGAGCTGGGGATGTTCAGCCTGGAGAAGAGAAGGCTCCATGGGGACCTTACTGCAGCTTTTAAGTACTTAAAGGGGGCTTATAAAAAAGGTGGAGAGCAACTTTTTTCTCAGTCAGATAATGACAGAACAAAGGTAAATGGTTTTAACTAAAAGAGGAGAGATTTAGATAGGAGATTAGGAGAAAATTCTTTACTCAGAGGGTGGTGAGGCACTGGCACAGGCTGCCCAGAGAAGCTGTGGATGCCCCATCCCTGGAGGTGTTCAAAACCAGGTTGAATGAGGCCCTGGGCAACCTGATCCAGTGAGTGGCATCACTGCCTATGGCAGGGGTGTGGAACTGGATGGTATTTAAGGGTCCTTCCAACCAGAACTATTCTATGATTCTGTGACTCTATGACTTCATTTCAGAGCTAGAGCTCTGAAGGAGTTAAATCTTTGCATCCATAGGAATCAAGTACCCTAATACCTGTAAACATCTGGTCATTTCTGTCTGTTGTCAGTAGGAAATGCCATACGGAAAGAGTGTGCAAGTATGGTGTTTACCACAAATACCCTAGACTGTTGTTTCATGAGTTCTGTGTGTCTCAAAATATCTGGGAGATTCACTGCAAGCAGTGCTGTGTTTCTGTTGAGCATTACTGAAATGCGGCCATGAAAGAACATGAACAAGGCATCTCTGGCCTTTTGTTCTCTCCTTATTTATGGTTTTGTCATATAACAGACTGACACCCTCAAATGGTTTTGCTTAATTCAACTTTCTGGGCTAAAATATATAGATCAGCAAGATAAATATATTGGGCTAAATATAGGAAAAATATAACCTGGCGACTTATAGGTACAATTATCCATTCTGGACATCAGTGCTAGAAGACTAGGACAATCATCTGAAAATATTTAGAATTTCAGTCATCCACGGCATCACAGCCCCCTGTTAGGAGGATAGCTACTCAGAGCAGGGATTTTAACTCATCTGCCAGTTAACTGTGGTCATTAAAGCCATTATTCACCTTATGGATTTACAGACACTACTAAGATAACATATCCATAGTGTCAGTCTGGCTTTTCACCTCTTTGTGCTGTCTTTTTTCAACTGAAGACAGGATTCATGTATTTCCACCCTTCAGTTTAATACAAGTGAGCATTAAAAATGAACAAGAACTTACTCCTTTTTCAGAATTTGGTCTCAATGAAATTACTGTGAATTGTAACAATTGGAACAGGAAAATAGACCAGAATGAATTTTGAATTATAGCATTTTTTATTATTTATTTCACAAAAATGAGCAACATTTGTGTCTAAAAATGAGGCCTGATCAGCTCTGTGTCAGCTTCCAAGGGCCCACCTCTTAGTTTTGGACACTTGAACTTGATAACACACTGGAGAAAGCACTGTAGCCCTGACTTCTGCTAAAGGAGGAGATTAGAAGTAAATCACAGAATCACAGAATTGTCTAGGTTGGAAGAGACCTCAAGATCATCGAGTCCAACCTCTGACCTAACACTAACAAGTCCTCCACTAAACCATATTACTAAGCTCTACATCTAAATGTCTTTTAAAGACCTCCAGGGATGGTGACTCAACCACTATCCTGGGCAGTCCATTCCAATGTCTAACAACCCTTTCGGTAAGGAAGTTCTTCCTAACATCCAACCTAAAACTCCCTTGGCACAGCTTTAGCCCATTCCCCCTTATCCTGTCACCAAACACATGGGAGAATAGACCAACCCCCACCTCGCTACAGCCTCCTTTAATGTACTTATAAAGAGAGATAAGGTCGCCCCTGAGCCTCCTCTTCTCCAGGCTGAACAAACCCAGCTCCCTCAGCCGCTCCTCGTAAGACTTGTTCTCCAGACCCCTCACCAGCTTCGTTGTCCTTCTCTGGACTCTCTCGAGCACCTCCATGTCCTTCTTGTAGTGAGTGGCCCAAAACTGAACACAGTACTCGAGGTGCAGCCTCACCAGAACCGAGTACAGGGAGACAATCACTTCCCTAGCCCTGCTGGTCACACTGCTTCTTATACAAGCCAGGATGCTGTTGGCCTTTTTGGCCACCTGAGCACACTGCTATATTCAGCCAAATATCAACCAATACGCCCAGGTCCTTCCCTGCCAGGCAGCTTTCTAATCACTCCTCTCCCAGCCTGTAGCTCTGCTTGGGATTTTTGTGCCCCAGGTGCAGGACCCAGCACTTGTCTTTGTTGAACTTCATACAGTTGAAGTATGAAATGACTGCCTTGGTTCATTTCCATCTCTGACTTTTTTTGATTTATCTATGTGAGGCTGTTTAAACAATACATGAAACATTTCATATGGGTTACTCTAAAAACAAAATAACAAACATAAAACCCCTCTTAAGTACATTCATGAAGTTTTGCATCAGTTTCAGCTAAAGAATAGTTTCAAGCTTTTATTTTTATTGGCACACAAAGCAGGCAGGCTAAACCTTAAACCCTAAAATTATGAATCTTCTCTGGTTATATATATATACATATATACATACATACATATATAGGTATATATGTATATATTACTAGTGCAGGCTGACAAAGATTTCTCTATCAAATATATGCCATTTACAAGCAGAATGCTGTCTCCATTCTAGTCACCAGTCACAGGAGCTCAGCTAGGGGTCCTGAGTGTCAAGCTGAGTGCTTTTCTTTCCCCATAATAAAGGTCCTGCAGGCTAAACTACTGGTAGGCTGTTAGTGACACTTCTGAAATGCCTTTGATGGGCTTACACAAATGCAAAGATTGGTACTTAACAATGCTGTTTGTGATATACAAGAAGTTTTTGAATTGTGCTCACCCTGCATTGTCTTCCATGCAGTCACATGTGTGAGTGTATATATATGGATATGTACATGAATATACATAAATATATGAAGTATGAGGATTAATGTGGTATAGGCATCTGAGTTTCATACATATTTGTGCGTGTATTTAATATAAAACAGAAAACATGAAATAGAAACTAACAAAATGCTACTGAAAGCTTATTTTTTAAAAACTGTTCTTGTGACTCTTATCTCACCCAATCAAAAGCACCAATTGTATCAGAGAGAAATTATAAAAATATAAAATGATGCTAGTTCTTAAATATAAGATTTGTTTGTTTATCTTTTATTTAATTCACTTTGAAATAATACTCTATGATCTTTACACATTTTAAATACTTTAAACTGTGACATCCAAGTAGGTGGCCTAGCCAATACTTCCTTTTTGCCAGTCAGATGCACTGGAAAGAGGTAGCAGGCTGTGTTTTCAGGAGACTTGAGAAATTTGCTGGCAAGCTTTTCTAGGGTTATCAGCACATGTCAAAGATGATGTCTGTGCAGAATGTAGGTTTCTTACCAACGCTGTTTTCTTGGAAGACAAATTTTATTTACCTTAGTTCACTCATTTTGGATGAATGAAAAGTCCATTGGGAAGGAATCAGTCCTCAAATCCAATATTTTTTCTTATAATTGCAAAAGTCTTGCTTCCTCTCTGCCCTGACAAAATTTGTCATAAACAAAAGGGTGCAATTAATTGGCTGGTAGACTACTTCTCATTTCCAGCCAAGTGGCAAGATAAATGTTGTGCAAATATAGTATCCTAGTATACTCTGTGTGAAATCATATAGATAAATTATAATATGACTAGTTTGGTACCAATACAGACAGCCACATGCATGTACATGTGCTGAAGGGACTGTAAAGTCTATATTTGCTAGATTCTATGCATTATTTTTTTTTCTTCTTAAAGAATTCAAAATACTTTTTAAAGGACTTGTTTTCTGTGCAATGGAGCTCATGGGCAAGCACTCAATAAAAGCAAAATGAGGAATGCAGTCATGGTTCTAAAACCACTTCATATTCTTCAGACTGATGCCAGTTGCACGTATTGGTAGTAATCCCATCTAATCCCCTCCACACGTATTATCTTTGTACACCTGCTTTCATTGTCTCTTTTCATTTTTTTTATACTTCTAACCAGCATATACAAGAGGGTAAAGCAACAGAACAAAGTACACATGCTCACACAGCTTTCTAAGCCACAATTTTGCATTGTAGTTGTAAAAAAATAGTTCTAGATTTGGTACTTAGAGTCAACATCTTCCATTAAGATATTTTTCCTACTTTTCCCCCTTTTCTCCTCCCTCTCCCCCCTACCCCCTTCCCTCCCTGGTACCATGTCTGTGTATGTCTTTCTTGGCAGATTAACCGAAGCACATCGAACAGCTGTAAAAGTCATCAGGAGAATGCAATATTTTGTAGCCAGAAGAAAATTTCAGGTAAGCAGCACTGTTAACCATAAGAACAGTTTGTAGGCTTAACTACATAACATTGAAAGTGCTCTGAGAATGGATTTGTCTTTGTGCATACAGTTGCAATATGTCAAAGGTACAGTTTAGGCTCTCAGCTTTATACCTTTCCTACGTGGTGTTTACCTACCTACTGCTTCCACATCTGCTAGAACTGAAGACAAGACTGTTGGAGTGTCTGCTCAAATATTGTTACTATCTACCCTGATCAACCAACAACTGGTTAGATGATGTTCAACTCATCACATGCTATGCATGATTCAATATATCATATTATTCATGATATCAATAGTTTTTACCAACCAGCACTATGCCGTGTAAAGTTGCTTTCCAATTTTTTTCCCAGCATGGGACATCAGAGAGGTCTTACTTTATGAAATTGTAGGTCATCTGCCCATCTGCCTTCTGGAAATTTGCTGACTTTATGAAGCCTTAAGTTAAATTTCTCAATCAGATTGCAAAGTAATCAAAACATATGTGCTGCTTTGGAAAAAAATAAATAAATAAAATAAATGAGTCTTATTTTGCCTGTTTACTAAAGCTCAGTATGATAAAACTTGTTTGGAATGTGATTCTAATATCATCCTTCTCATCACACATGTGCCAATGGTGCCATGAAAATAAATAATTAACTTCTGGCCAGATTTTCAAAGCGCCTGTTAATTCCATCTGAAGATTCATACTTTTATGTGCAAGAGGTTCCACAGCAAGTTAATCAACTTTCATAATCCTTTTGAAGGGGTTTTAAAAAGATAAAGGAAAAGCCTAAATTTCAAGTAATTTTAATTAGAGTTGAGCACTTAATTGCCAGGGATAGAAATCTGAGATAAGCTTGCATTGCTCATAGTACTGAATTCTCTTCTGGTCTTTTCTTTCCTGAGGCTGTGAAAAGTAGCTGATCATCCTCCCCATGCTAAATAGATTTTGGACATTCAGACTCAGAAGCTGTTATTCTGAGTTTTGCCTTAAGAGCTCTAAGCACACTGGATATAGAGTGCTGAGCCCAAATGGCCAGGATTTGAGATTTATTTTGGGGAAAAGAAGTGGACAGAATGAAAGTTAAAGAAGTTCATCAAGTTCTTTACTTACCAAACTTCCCTGGGAGCCCATCACATCCCTCCCTAAGTTGCATTGTACATCATAGTGTTTCTTAATAAAAACATGACAAGGGATATGTGCCTGCAAAGTCTGGAGAGGCATACATGTAAAATGCTCAGCTTTATGGAAAAGGAGGAGGAAAAAATGGAGAAAGTTGAAAGGATATTTTTACTATGCTTTAGAGGGCTCAGACAGACTGCAGTGTACAGTACTTCACAACAGAAGGATTCAGAGATGATGATTCAGTAAAAGGGATCTCAGATAGGAGTCTTCTTTTGAGAGAGAAAGGAAATTTCATTGGGAGTGAGTAGAATTAATTACGCACATAGTAGCCCATGGGGGAGAGGGGAGGAGGTGAGGAAAAATCCCTAGCACATCTAGGCTCTGCGCCATGCATCATGTTTAAATAGAGAGTCCAGAGGAAAGGACAGAGGATTTAGCCAAAATGCTCTCAAAGCACCCCCACTAGTCAATCTAAAGAGTGATACTGGCACTGTTTCTCTGGGCAAAGACAATAGGCTGCTTTTCTGGCCAGAAATAGTGATGTGTCAGCGTCTGCAAGAAGTGAAGCTGGGGAAGGAAAAAAAAAAAAAAAGGCAATAAACTGAAAGCTGAAACCTCCCTCCGCCAAAGTGTATCTTCTCAGAAATGCACACAAATGTGCGTTCACACTACTGAAACCATGAACTCTTCTGAAAGTAATAATACATGTAAGTGGTGATGGCTAAGCACGAGGAAGGTATTTTGTCACGAAGAGCTTTTGCTTCTTCATTCATTTCACAGGATTTGTTTCCATTCCAGTTCCATGCTTTTATTTGAAATTTCTAGGATCCTGTGGCTGCCTTCCAAGCATGACTCCAGCACATACTGTAGGTGTTCAGTGCATGTGTGCAGTGGTGCATGCTAATGGCTCTGACTGAAGCTGTGACAGAGTGGAAACAGACAACAAGATGACTAATGGGCTGTTTTCAGTAATTTCCAATTACTAGATTTGCAGTTTACCTTTCTTTTTTTTTTTTTTTTCTTTTCTTCTTGAGCCAGAGCCAAAAAGGAGACATCTTGCCCCACATTTCCCATAAGGGTTGGTATGTCTCTGAAAATGCTGATTTTTCAAAAGGACATCATTTACAGTTACACCACACACACACATTAATTTTAATTGATAAAGTTTTGCCACAGTGCACTTTTTATAATCACATCACCTTATGCAAGTTCTCTAGACTTGTTTCAGAATTCTGCCTTAGTAGTTACAGGAAGAAACCAGAGCTTGGCAGAAGCAACTGGATTCTCGTTAGAATGGGAATAAAGCTAGGCAGATGGCAGGGCTTTTGTTGTTGTTATTGCTGTTATTTAAAAAAAAAAAAAATACAACTCTTTTGCATTTTTTGTCTATCTTTTCTTTATTTCTTTCAATTGCACCTAGTAGGTATCATTAAAGACAAAGAACCACAAACAAATCCTATGTGCAGCTGTCTTCATACTTATGCAAAGTATCTGTCCTCACAGTTATTTAAGCAATAATATTTCTGTCACCAGAATTTTTTAGTCTTCAGAGGCATTTGACTCTGGGTCCAAGTGTTATGAATTGGGCCTATCGCTGTGATTTAGTCCTCTGATATTATGATTAACATATGGTTTTGGAATGAGCTGAGAGATACCACACATGGTAGTCTCAGATAAGTTATATGTCTTGGGTTTGTGTTTTCAAACACACAGTGAAGGTCTAATATTTTGCTCAGTATGAAGTAACATGAAGACATGATTCTAACTGACAGTAATGGGAATCATTTGGCTCCATCTCCACAGTAAATATGCACTCCTAATATGCCTATATACTTTTTATTCATTGCAACAACCATTACAAAATGGCAGCCAAATAACCTCTGAAAGACACACCAAAAAAAAAAAAAAAAAAAAAAGCATGTCCAAAATAAAAATCAAGTTTAAACTGCAATTATCTTTCAATCTCATCTATGACTCCTTCAACAGCAAGCTAGGAAACCATATGATGTACGCGATGTGATTGAACAGTACTCACAAGGACACCTCAATATGATGGTTCGGATAAAAGAACTTCAAAGAAGGTAGGCCCTGTCTACTTCATGAAATATTTGATTTCTTTGGTGCCAGCTGGCTTTAGGGGAGATGTGTACTTAATGAACAGTAATTGTCCAAAATTGCAAGCACAACAGGGAGCACAATATCTAGAGGATTTAACTTAGAATCATTTTTAACCCCTTTTATTACTGAGTTTACAATTATCCTTTATTCTTCTCCCTTGCTTCAAATGAAATTAAAGGAAATTAAGGTTCATGATGTGAAGTTTGTACTATGAAGTGAGCTTTTCTGTCTTCTTTTTAGAAAAGAAAATCTTTTCAAATAATGATTTACCTTTCTGTCTTCTCTCTGTGGTTCTCCATGGCTGAGAGAAATCTGGTTCATTTGTGTTCTCCTCTCTATCTGGAACTTTTCGCTTACTGCATTCCTCTTTGCACAGGCTTTCTCTGAGTCTTGGGATTGGAGCTGAAACATTTTGCCACAGAACTATCCCTTTCAGTTTCAGCACAAAATGCTTTTCTCTTTACAAATTAACTCTATGGACTATCAGACTGAACTCCTCTGGCTCTTAAATTAAATAAAAATCAATAATAATAAATAAATAGATAAAACCTCCCAACCCTGTTGAGTGGAATCTACTGTGTCAATAAATACACATATTAAATCCACCTGCATGAGATTCAAGGAACAGTTGCGGATGTTATTAAGAAACCATTCTGTTTTTACACTCTTTGTTATTAGATTGCATATGAGAGAGGAGAACTATTTTTTAGTTCCGACATGAAAGTCTAAGAAATAAAATATTAGTACACATGAAAGAAATGATAATAATATGGTTTAATTCTGGAAAAAAACTCCAGAGAACTAAAGTGCTGACTGTCTTTATGCACAGCAAATCATGCTAATCTGGTCTTTTTACTTGCTTTGTTTTAGGTTTAAAATGACTATAAATTCTTATGTAAATTATGCATATATACTATACTATACTTTTTTTTAGCAGCAGAGTTTAATTTGCTTGGTAATTCCACTGCTAATAATTCTCTGTTTTCTTTTCAGATTGGACCATTCCCTAGGAAAGCCGGGCCTTTTCCTCCCAGGTATAATGACTGTATTCTAAGTATTTAGGTTCATAACTTGGTGAAAATACCAGTGGCTACAGTAATATAGATTTATAATCTACACAATTATGAATTAATATATAATTCTGTTAGTAGGCTCAGGAACAGCTGTGGAGAGATAAATACTTTGCATTCAGGTGGTAGTGGAGTAAATGGAAATTAAGAATATATATTGGAAATGTGTATCAGTGAATGACAAGTTGGAAATACCTGACTGGAAAAATATCTCCCTCCTCCCCCCACCCCAAAAATAAAAAATAAAAAATCTTTCTATGTCTTTTGTGTTGGGGTTAGGATATATATTAGTTAAAGAGATTTTTTTTCCTTTCTAAACAACCTATGGATTTTAGTTTGGGAAAGATCAAAGATAGATCAAGGGTAGATCATTCAGGAAGAACTGGGATAGTTTAAAAGCTAGAATGATAGAAATGTTAGGAAATTAAATCTTAAAAAGTGCAAGATCATACACAGGAAAACTGATACAAAATCTACTTGCTGGTAGTATTGAACAGTCTGGAATGTCTGAGAAAAAGAAATTACTGTATGCTAATTAATTGTAAACTAATGCTCACTGAACCTATGAAAATGCTGTGATGTATCAACAACAACAAAAAATTAGTCTGATCATAGGATCAGGAGAGAGATTTTCAAGACTTACAGGGACATGGGCATGCCCTAGCACAAGACTCAGGTAAGGCCTTATGTAGTCTGTTGTGCAAAATTCTGACTCCACATCTTTAGGGAAGATTATCTGCACAGAAACAGGGAAGAAATACCATAGTGACCAGTAAAAAAGAGAACCTGTTCTATTAGTGGGAAACAGAAGTTTGTTCTTTTTAACCTAGCAAAACAAAGGGCTAGAAAGAACAGTCTGGTAATTCTACGAGGAGAGCAATTACCTGGGAGGAAAAAAATAATATGTAAGAGAAAGGACAGTATGAACAGAAGAACAGATGTTTGTAAACTGGTCAAAAATCATGGAATCATGGAGATCAGAAACCTGAATATGGAAGGGACTGAAATAAGTGATACTTAGAGGGGTCTAATAAAAAGGATGGAGAAAATTTGCTTGGTAGATAATGATAGGACAAGGGGGAATAGTTTTAAATTTAAAAGATGATAGATTTACATTAGACATTAAGAGGAAATTCTTCACTGTAAGGGTAGTGAGACACTGGAACTGGTTGCCAAGAGAGTGTGGATGCCCCATCCCTGGAGGTGTTCAAGGCCAGGTTGGATGAGGCCTTGGCCAACCTGATCTAGTGGGATAGGATGAGTTAGATGATCTTTAAGGTCCCTTCCAACCCAAGCCATTCTATGATTCTGTAATTTGTTATAGTAAGATATTGTCTTCAAATTTGCAGAGGTTCCATCTTCTCTGTCCCTAAGAGCTCAAAAATGATTTAGGGACTGAAGTCCCAGGTCTCTGAATGACTTTGAGCACTCATGAGCATAAGTGTAAGTGAGAGTCAAGGGTGCCAAAGTTATTTTAGAGCCTTTTAGAAATGCTTCCATATTATCAGAGGTTAAAATGATTTATAGTCAGAATGAGGATTGTCTCTCAAAACACAATGTATTTTAAATATCTGATCACTGGAGAAGGCTCAGTAGTACACTCCTCTTCCCTGTAGATGAGACAATTTTGGATCACAGGAAAATAATCAGTCAGCTTGAATACATCTATAAATATTTACGCTTGGGAATTCATTCCAAAATGTGCAAGCTAAATTTACAGAAAATCTTTGCTTACCTCCAAGAATGTATAATTTCAAATTTAACATTATCAAATTAAAACTATTATTTGTACTAAAAAATAAAAAATAAAAAAATTAGAGGACCATTTTATGAGGCATCTTATTGTTTCAGCGGTGGAGAATAATTCGAAGTGTTGGCTGCGAAGAAGTTAACTGTGAAATAATATTCTGAGCAGTTTGGGAAGTGTCAGATTTTGCTGAAGGTGTTCAGAAGTTTAGTCACCAAATCTTTGGTTGAAAGGATCATAGAAACCATTGGGAGGATCTTAGATGGGTCTGTGGATTTGAATAAGATTTCAAAGTGTTCACGTGTTGAAAAGAGAGTAAGTTACTGAGAAAGAGCTCTGGGGCTGTGTTTGTGAGTTTTGACTGATTCACTTATAAGCATCTCATATGGAAACCTACACATAGGACAGCAAAAGTAAAACGGGTTATCTGCCTGTAGGCCTGAGGTTACACAGCAGAACTTGCTGTTCTGGGCACATGCTGGAGAGAGTGCCAGCAAAGACAGACCCAGCTAACTAAAGGGAAAAAAAAAACTCCAAGTCAAAGTCTGCCACAGAATTTTTATTATTCTTTTTTATTATTATTATTATTCATAAAAACTTGCTTTGACCTTATATCTGGAGGGGAAAAAAAAAAAAAAAAAAGGCATCCATAACCCCCTGCACCTACTTCTAGAGGGAAGATAAATTTGAGTAGGGATACCTACCCCAAACCTTCAAAATTTTATGATAGACAGTCTTACTGGGGAGAGCACTACAGGACTTCAGAGATATTTGGGTAAACCCATAATCTGTGCTCTGGAGAAAATTATGACATCCCTATCATTCAATTAGCTTCCCTTGTTAGTCTTTTCCTGCAATATCACTGCTGAATTACTGCTTTGAGACAGCTCTCAAATGCAAGAACAAGGTGGCCCTGCTGAAGATTAAGTCTGCCTCCACAGCATTCCAACTCTACACAGTTGTAACTTTTGTATAGACATATGGCTCTACCCTTAGATGGACTGGATAAATACTTACTAGGAAAGGTAAAATGGTTGTTAGGGCTGCAAAAACAGGTAAGATCAGTTAGGGCTTTGCAAGACCAAAACCAGAAGTTATTTGATCTAGTAGTTATTTTATATAAACCTTCCACAAATCCAAAAATAAGATAAGTGGTTCCAGATAAATGGTCTGAAAAACTAAAACTAGGGTTAATTTATAATTAGTCCCAGTATAATCCAACCCACCAATAATCAAGTGATGAACAGTGATGAGTTGTTATAGTATTGGCCTGGTTTAGGTGGAAACAGACTTTTGTGCTGTCATCCTCCTCTGGAAAATAGAGTTCATCCTGAGTTTTCCTTAGAACAGTTAGCCAGTTATACATCAAAAATGTATTTTCAGTCTGATATATTTTTTCCAGTTCAAAGGCATTACTAAAAACCTCATTTATAAACAATATGGATGTTTCCTCCAGACTGTGTTATTTTTGTATTGATGGCAAGCAAAAGAGAAATGACAATGCAAAGAAAATGAAACCACCAAGGAGAAAAACATGAGAGGAATTTTCCTTTCCAGCTCCTTTTATTTTTCTGTTTTATTTTACTCCTATTCAAAGAATCTTAAGGTCTGATTCCAAGCTTGTTGGAATGAATGGGAGTCTTTCCAGCGACCTCAGTGGGTTTTGGATCAGGCTGTTACTGAAACTCTGTTGTCAACTTTGATAATATTATATGAAGTAATTGCAGTGTGTCTGATTTATTCTATAGTATTATTCCCTTTCCAAAGTAAATGATGTCATAAAAGATCCAGAATCTAAATTCACTGAAAGCTATTATTGGAGTGGGGGTGGAGGGGTGGGGGAATATGATTATTTCTCAAGGATAAAAAACACTAAAAGCTGTGTTAAAACAAGGTAAGGGTGCAATAACAGAAAAAATAGCCATGCTGGGTCATGACAGTAATGTCTTCTTGACTAGAAGCAAGGTGCTTTGGGAAATGTGAAAGAAAAAGAAATGTATATGCCTCTAATCTTCCTGTAAGCTTCCAGCTATTTGCATATCAGAGACTTCCTGACATGGTTCCTGTGTATTTAGTAGTCATAACTGGTTTGTGCTCAACAAGATTGCCTGGTTTCCCCTGAACCTCATGTAAACTTTTAACATCTGTGATATCCTGTGACAAGAAGTTTCATGATTTAACTTACACATACACATATTGTGAGAAATCCTCCTATTTTGCTTGTTATGGTGCTGGTTCTAACAGCTTTATTTGAAACTTCCAATGTGAATTTTAAAACATTAAGAAGATAATGAATAAATTTTCCAAAGAGTTGAATCCTATTTTTCAGGAATTTTCCCAGAAGAATGTATCTTAGCTTTGCTGAAAGCCCATCTCACATTTCCTGGTAACACAAACAATTCTGTAAAATGAAATTAAGATTCCCGTAATAGTAAACAAACACCTTAAAAAAAGTATTGGTATAGAAGCAAAGCATGCATTACTAACATTTCTTGAATTAACGAAGCAGAAGCTTCTGTAATGATACTAATAAGAGAAGCATAATACTTGATCTTCACTACACAATGGAGTTAATTGCTTTTGAGTGACTTTTTTTTAGACTAGCTATAGTTTTCAGGGGCAAAAGTGAAGAATAACGCCAAAATAAAACGAAAGATGCAGTGTTCGGATTCAGAAAAGCAGTTCATCTGAACCTCTTGCATCTACATAAGCAGGTGGAAATCCCTGGAGAAAAAAGATCTCTTGTAAACCTTTGGCAATGCCATTTCTTGCTTTATTTCCCACATTCAGTAGTCCCAATACTAAACTTTATATCATTTCCTGAGGTTTTGAGATATATTTAAGAATTTGGAATATCCTAGTTGTAACAAGGCTTGAATTCTTCATTTTCTGTTTGGGAAAAAAAAAAAAAAAAAAAAAAAAAAGATAATGCTGCTGTCTCTTATTTGATTTTCTCTTTTGCTTTTGCTCATTTAAGATGGAATTGCTTTTTTTTTTTTTGTAAAAGAAACAAAAATTGAATAACCAGCAATATGTCATTTATGTAATGTGCTTCCAATTGAAGAAAGAGTTGGGGTTGGCCTTTCTTGTTTTCTCAGCTAGTGTGGACAATATTAAAAAAGCTTTAATTCTTTTTTTTTTTTTTTTTTTACAAGAGGCATCTCATATTATCACTAGAAAAATGGATGTAGCATTTTTGTGAAAAAATTAGGAATTAAAAATTAAATACAGGTGGATATTGTTTTGAAAACCATAGAGTGTGATGTTGAGGAAGGCAAAGGCTTTCAGGGAAAAAATTTATATACTAGCAAAGGTGAGATAATATATGGGTGACCTAAGAACTGTTCAGTCTCTTGAAGTATAATACTTATTGCTTATACAATACTGTTTTATCTGATGGAAGTCTAAATATACTAAATGATGGTTTTATATCATACCAACCATGTGAAACATGATTGTTTCAGGATTTATTTTTCTTTATGATTCTGAGCTAAAATTTGTTCACATATATTTTCATCATGTTATAAATAATCATGACTCCTTTCATGATGACCTTACATGTTCCCTTTCTGTTTGAGCCTTTCACACATATATGAGCTGTTACTAAAATGTGTAGATGATCTGTTTGTTTTATTGAAGACATACAAAAACAGATAAAACTTAATAATTAGTTGTTTGGATTACAAGGCAAAGAACGTAAAAACTAAGATACTTCAGATTTACAATTAGCCATGCTATCTTTTCAATTATGTAAAAGCAAATAATCTAATATAGAAAGTCTAAAGTCATATATCTTGAAAAGACTTGAGAGAGAAAGCATAAACATGAAATAGAAATCAAATGTATTTGAGCAATGGTATCTGAACTTCTGGCTACCCTTCTTACTACAATTCTTTGTACATTGTATACACAACTCATTTACTTTTAGATAAAGATGGTCTTTATTAGAGAAAAAATGTTTGTAAATTAGAGCTGAATGCTGATTTAAATGGAGGCTAATAAGAAATGGGAAAGAGTGCAGCCTTTTGTGACTTACTTAGCATGGATGCCAATAAAGAGATGGAGAGGACGCAGCTACATATGTGAATATCATGCTTTTCACTTCAACTGACGAGAGCCACATGCCACAAAATAGCTACTTACTGCTTATCTGCTTCCTATTTTCTTGTTTTCTGTTCTACACTGCATTCAAGAACAACTAAGATAAAAAACATTATTAACTTGGTTTGGTTGTTTTGGCATGTCTTGGTGATTATATGAAGGATGTTATTAGAGCTGGTGAGGAAATTATTATTAAAAAAGAAAAGTGGGTTTTCTTGTTTTATTTTTCTTGCTGTATTATTATTTGTTTGTTTATATATGTGTGTGTATTAGACCTAAACAACAAAAGCACTGCCTACTCACTGCTGTTCAAATTACATCCCAATTTAGAAATCCTTAAACACAGAAGTATAGCCTTTAAAGGATGTGTCTACAGATTTGTTAATTAGAGAGTAGAATAAACTGTTCATTTTTTTGTTTTAGACAGAAATGAATACATAGGTAAACCTGAGCCTCAACCTTTTTATCTTTTTAGAGGATTCTAGTTTGTGGACTAATTGGTGATGAACGCTACACATGTATGAGCCAAGCTGTGTCTTTTTTTTTTTTTTTTGTCCCTACACAGTGCCCTTGAACAGTCTTTGAATTTTCTCTCTGTATGGTATTTATGGTGTTTATGCCTCTACATTTTCTTATGAAGCACTTCTCCCTTCTAATGCCTGTGCAGAGCTGTCAAGGGACAATAGCCTTTTTAATATTCTAGGTGATCTGTAGAGAAGGAAAGCAAGAAGAGTACTCTTGCCAGCATTGCTTTTTGCAAGTTTTCCTCTAAGGTATATGTGTACCTTCAGATGAACTTTGGTGCAAATGTATGACTAAAAGTATCACATTAGCAAACATATATGCTGCAAATGGTAAGGCAAGTACCACCCACAGAGGAATGTAAAAATGTGAGTTTCCTGCAAAATGAGCACACATACAGCCTGTCTGCCAGTAAGACCTTTAGATTGTGCTCATGCCCCATGCAAAATGGGCTGAAATAGCTCTAAAACCCAAGGCTCAACCACTCATAAAATTGGAATGACTTATGGAACAAGCAAAGAGAAATTACTGCAGCCCAATACTGGAATAACAGTTTAGACAAAAAATGTATCCAACCTCCATTGACAGATTTCTAAGTTACTTTAGAATTTGCGGTGTGTTTTGTTTTGTTGTTATGTTTTGTTTTTCTTGTGAATATTTTCTCCTAGCTCAGCATATATACATTTCTGTGCTTTTTTTTCCCCATGGACTAACACTCCCAAAGTATGTCATTCCTTTGCAATTGGCCATGTAAACACAAAGAATAGAACCCACTTTATACAGCTTTAATTCTTGGCTCCCCATCCCAATATTTGCAGTGTGTAAGTGAAGCAATTTGCATAACTGGCCTTCAATAAGAAGGTCTCACAAAGCCTAGGAGGAGAAAAGGATGGAAATGCAAGTTTTTTTCCCAGCAATCATCCCTCTGCACTGATGGGATAGGTCTGCCATTCCGGCCACTGAGACCCAAGACAGTGCTCCCTCCTACATCTACAACCTCAACTGAAAATTATATATATTTCTGTGTGTAAAGAAACATTGCACATGTCAAAATGGGGTGTATGCCTAGGGATCATGTCTATTCCACCTAATTTTATGCTTCTATTTGAGATAATTAAAGAAGGAACCAGATCACCTTTACGTTGGTGTCATTCATACTAGTGTAACATTTTGCCAGCTGAAATACCACTAGATGTGATTCATAGTTTGAGTTTACCCTCAATCTAATGATTGTCCCATTTCTATTCTTTTTTTATTTAGAAAAAGGGGTAGACAAAGGATACTATACTGTAGGAGCCAGACTGATTCGGCTAGAGGATAAGGTACGTGCATGAAAGCTTTTTTTCTTTTTTTTTTTTTTTTTTTTTTTCTGAGTAATGATATCTGATCTACAGACATGCAAGATAGTATCTTGGCATGATTTACTTTAGAATTACAGGGCACCATAACAAAGAATAATATCCTAATTTTTGTAAGGGAGTCGATGAAGTATCATGTGCATGGTGTTCAGCATTAACTGTTTACCTGCCATGCATATTTTGTTCTTGATTTTAAAAGGGACCACTTACATGTTGAAGCCAAATCACGTATCTTGTAGGTAAATAGTACCATGAACTGATTAGGTGTTTGTTGTACCACAATTACTGAGTTAAACAGAAAGGCTACTATCAAGAGCCTTTGTAAATGGCAATGGTTGATATTTCATCAGTCTTGAAGTTCTCTAATGTTTACTGCATTTTTCCCCCGTGCAGTTATCTTTGCAACAGTTCTACCCCTCCCTCCACTGAATTCAGTTATTCTCTCCAAGAAGGTGTTCATCTGTGTTATTAATTAGAATTATACAGAAGTACGCCTAAATGCCAAGGCCCAGTGAAGCTCTATTGTTTTAGGCCTATTGCAAACATCTTCAAGAGTTTTTCTCACTCAAGTGATAACAAAAGCACAAGTTCGCTTAAGAGGAGAAATCTATTTTTCTAATACTGTCAGCTCTCTTGAAGGCATGCCTATCCCTTAAAAAATGGTGACTTCATAGTGTGCTTCCTATGGACAGTAGTGACATAGTCACTTTGGTGTGTGATGTGATGTAACTTTTCAAACTGTCGTGGTTCTGCTCGAGTGGGCAGCCGAGCTCCACCACAGCCACTCCCCCACGGGCTGCAATGTGGAACCCTGCTCCACTGTGGTACTCCATGGGCTGCAGGGGGACATCCTGCTTCACCATGGTCCTCACCACAGGCCGCAGGGGACTTCTGCTCCAGCGCCTGGAGCACCTCTCCCCCTCCTTCTACACTGACCTTGGTGCCTGCAAGGCTGTTTCTCACTCCCTTGACTCTCCCAGCTGCTGTGTGGTGCAGCGTTTTTTTCCCTGTCTTAAATATGCTCTCACAGAGGTGCAAAACAACATCGCTTATTGGCTCAGCTCTGGTCAGCAGTGGGGCCCTTACCAAACATGGGGCAGCTTCTAGATCCTTCTCACAGAAACCACCCCTATGGCCCCCTGCTACCAAAACCTTGCCATGTAAATGGCAAACAAACAAACTACACAAACAAAAGTCCATTTGAATTTAGCATAAGCATTTCCTATTTTTGTCTTCTTCTTATTCAAAACTTGTCATGCAAGTTTTATTTTCATGTCTTTCTGGGGAGTAAGGAGAGAAGGAAAGGGGAAGGAAGCCTTTCATTACATAAGAATGTAAGAGTTAGGCTTCTTGCCCCCTCGCCCCTCCCTTTCACCCCCCACCCCCCAAAAAAAAAAAAAAAAAAAAAAAAAAAAAGAGAAATAAAAGCAGTTTCTCCCTCTGTCACGTAACATCTAATGCTCATTGTTAGAACGACATCAGAAAATGTGAGGCTGTGATGTCAAAGGATGGGTTTTCTTTGACTTTTAGCTCTCTTAGTGTCAGGGAATGAGCTTCGCAGGAAAAGACAGTTTATCTGAGGTAACTTTTAAAATGGATTGGTTCCTTGTGTGGACAGTCTCATTCAAAGTGAAAACGGCTTTCATTCAAATTAGCTCAATTACTTTAAAGGAGATATATGGCTCTTTAACCTCTATATGTTTTGTGAATTCACACCACTAGTTTATTCAGATTTCTTGAATATGCTTGTACAGAGACACCAACAATATGGGTTTGAAAATCTAGCAAATGTAAAAAATAATAATAATAATAAAAAAAAATTACGTTGTGTGAGAAATGTTGCTAGCACTGTAAATACTTCCAGTGGCAGTTTTTTGTGGTCTCCCGACTGCTCCATATTTATGAAGTAAAAAGGTCAGAAAGTTATTAGTGTCTGGCAGTGGCCTGGTTTTAACACAGTATGCTGTGGATTTGATAACTTTTGATTTTAAAGCCTTAATTTGAGTACTGCTGAGGTATCAGTGTAGGAAGAGGAATGTTACAAGACATGTCTGTGTACACAGCAGATACTGCAATAAATGATCTCTGTTGCAGGTATCTGCTTATGCTCTGCTCTTACATCTTAAACCTGTGGACCAAACTCTTGATGATTCTAAATACTAAAATATTCATCAATACTGCCTTGATTGTAAATGCTCAGAGATGATGGAGCAACGTGGTTTAGCTTTATCATATCAACTGTCTGGCATGTGTTAACCAGTCTGTAGTGGAAATTTACAACAACGTTCTTGGAACAGTCCTGCAAGTTAAAAAACATATATATATATTTAAAAAAAAAAAAAACACACACACACAAACACACAATGGTGTAGCCAACTTAACGTGATTTAGGCATAATCTAAATATAGTTTTTGCAAGCTCAAACCATTCATGTGGCAAAGCCTAGCAAAGCCTAGCTGGTCTTTTGTCTGAGTAGTTAAACCATAGTGCTTTAACTGACCACATGCTGTATGGGAACTGGTGATTTCTACCTCTTTACTCATTGTTCTGGAGAAAACAAACAGAAAGGAATAAAAATATGTCAAGATATTTTCATAAGAGGATGCTATGAAGCATATTCAATCACTGCAACTTCCTTTTCATTCTCAAATCAAGCTACAAATGTAAAATAAAACACCAGAAGTCTGATGGAACCCAGTGCCTTTGTTCTTCCAGTACAAATTAGCCTTCTGGTAGGTGCACATGACTTTATTTTTATGTTTCTGCCAAGAAAGTAGACAAAGTGCAAAAAAAGGGCAAATATTTGTTGTGGGGTTTGTTTTGTTTTCATGCTTTTTTGTTTTGTTTTGTTTTTAGTATTTGTAACTTTTTTGCACATTAGGCTAAAATATATATGTTTACGTAGTCAAAACAAAGTTAAGCTTCCCAGATATCTCTATTTTAATAGGACAATAGAAGCAACTGCATCCTGCTGTCAAACTGTTTCCCCTAAACTATTTTCCCAAGTCTCATGGGATCTCTTGCTTTAATAGTTCACTGCATAGTAGCTGCTATGTGCCCAAATGTGGAATAATATTGGAGTCGGGAAAGACAAGCTGGGTTTCAACCTCAGAGGAAAATAAATGAAGCAAGGGCATGTTTGACATCAGGCTCCAGCTGGTGGTGAAAAATGATCTCCCCCTTGGAACTAGAAAACCTTTGGGATCAGCCTCATCCCTCTGGAGAAATTATTTTAACATTCAGTCACCCAGTACTGTCATGGCAGCCTCCCAGCCAAATGACATATCTGATAACATGACACATTTTTGGACAAAGGCCAGTTGGTGTAGACTGATAAAAGGGCAATACAGATTTCTGTGATACAATCTGTATCAATAAGCTATTACTACACTTCTAGCCCAGACTGATCTTTCCCACCAGCATTTTCCAGTTCATTTGTTTTTGTTGTTTCTCTGAAAGGGAGTTAGAAAGTAATTCAACCATTCATAGATGTGTGTTTTTTTAGATAAAGCCATATTAATGTTTGGGGTTTTTTATATATATAAATTTTGAAAAGGAGGGAGAAAGAATTGTGCATTTATGATGGTTAAGATAAACTTTGTTCCCTTTGTTTTTTCATTGCTATTTGAGTTAAAATGCTGGATTTGCTGTACAGAAAGCATAGGCACAGGTGTCTGAAGTGGTTACTTAGTGATAGAAAAAAGTTTTGAGGCAAACATGTCTCAAAGGCTCTATGATAACAACTTTACATTCATTTTGCATAAGCAGTGTTGTCTGCACCCTCTCTTTTGTGGCTGTTGTGTCTCCATATGTAATTTAAGATAACAAGGAAGAGGTAAGAACACTAATGTATAGGATGAAGCACCATGCAAGTCCACATAGAGTTGAAATACACTTGTATCACTTCACTTTTAAGCGCTGCAGAGCTGACTGGAAAGGGATGAAATGTATGGTGGCGGTTTCCAGGCAATATGTAAAACTTTTTGGCAACATCAATGCTGTGCAAGGCTGTTCTCATTAACATGGCATGTTGCACAGTGTAAGTTTACCCATAACAGTTTTCAACCTGTTTTTCCCTGAATAGGACATAAAAAAATTACATTGTTGTGGTCAACATTAATAACCTATTGTGGTTCTTTTCATATAAATGTTGAGATTTTTAGAGAAAGAATGGAGCTTCTTTCCCAACACGTGATATGTGCCATTTGGCCGACCTTTTCCTTAGTTTGATGGCAGGATTTAATTTTAAATTGTGGTATGTAGCTATTGACAGATTCTTTTGAAACATATTAAGAGGGAGATTGGTTCCAAGATGATGTTCTAGAGTTGGCATTAGTTTCTTTTTAAAGTAGTAATCTAATGCTTCTTTATGATGAAATGAGCATTCTTCCTTTTTCTTTTCTTTTCAAAATTAGAATCAAAAATCTTGGTGTGTTGCGTCCAACTGCACGACAACCTATAAATAAAAACAGGAGAGAAAAGAATCTACAAATGAAAGGTTAGAAGGGACAGCTGTGTTGTCTTTGAAAAAGAAATCTATTAGGTATTTTTATAATTATATGACAGTCTTCTTTATGTGGTATTTACAGTTATGATTTATGTCCATATTACCATAACTATTTCCACACTTATAGACAACATGTGATAATATTGGGAGCCAAAAGCAACCATTTGGTAGCATTTAAAAAAATGCAGAAACACTAAGAGAAAACAGGGCAGTAAAACAGAACCCTTGTGAGCTTTATCCATCTGGATAATGTGAGCCAGAACAAAAGTGTTGTCCAATGTAAACAAACATAGAGGTTGGATTATGGTGGTAAACTCTTTATCAATTTAAAAACTCATTTTAAAGTTGGGAGCTAAAAATGATGGTGTCAGAGAAGAGTGGTATTTCCCTATCATCTTCTTCCTCCAGGATAACAGAGAGATGGATGCTAGTGAATCTGACTCCTGCTGTGAGAGTC